CCCCTCGGTGTATTCACACTGTGGATGCGCCTCGCCGATTAGGCCAGTCACTGAGCGGTTCCGGTGATCAGACCGACGTGCGGTGTTGCAGTGCTGGGGGCCAGGTCACCCGTTTTACCGAGTAATGCCCGTTCACGCCACTTTCCCTGTTGCCATGCACTGCTGCACTTGCTCCATTATCCTGGGTTATTACTGTTCCTGTGCCTCAATGTCAAGTACACGTAACCAGAGGTACGCGTGCACAGGGACAGTGTGGCCTCGGAGGCTGGGTGCCCTCTGAGGTTTCAGGCACCCGCTGGGGGCCTGGGAGCGTGTCCTCTGAGGACCAGGGCCCGCCGTGCTGTTCCACACGTGAGAGACACCCCGTGGGATTGGCTGTCGCTGCCCCGTTTGCTGGAAAGCTCAGTGTTAGAGAACCGAGTCGGGGAGTAACTTGACATAAGAAAGTTCTCTGTGTGGAGAAGACAGGCCAGAGAGCGACCTTCAGGAATGTCAGGGTGCAGGGGGCCCGCCAGGTGGTCCACCCTCTGACCCCCTTGCTGCATAGACCCACACGGTGCCCAGGGGGGGAACGCTGATGTCACGTCCACGCCCAGACACTCTTCCCACACGGCGGGGAGCGTAGTGCTGGTTCATGAGACGGCGCAGTATCGCGTCCAATCGGGGATGTCCTGTGTCTGTATTCACAACGCACTCCTCCTTCCTGACCTTTTCCCCAACGTAGGATGTGTATTCGTACAAGCAAGTGGGAGTGTCTTTGAACCGAATATTCACCGTCAACCCCAAGGGCGAGCTGGTGCAGGAGCACGCCAAGACCAACATCTCCTCGTGAGTCCCCGCGCCGGCCAGCGTGACGTGGGAGTGGCCTCTTACCGTTCGTGGTATTCCTTTGGGTCCTTCGGTTGCCTATATATATATTTTTTTTTTCGGTTGCCTATATTTTAATCTTTAATCCCTGCAAGGAAAATATGCTTTCACTCCTCGTATTTTTTGCCCAAAATGTAATGTTTGGACAATCTGGATTAAATCAGGTCCCCTCTGGGTGGAACACGGAAACCGGCGGTTACATGCTGCTCCGGGGTGGAATTGAATGAATTTGAAAACGAGTGGTTTTGATTTGCCAAGTTGGGTCGAAAAGCCTAGAAGGCGAATTAAAAGGGTAACCAAATGGACTCTCACATGACACTGTATTTAAGGATGAGGCACATTCTGGCCTGAGTGCCATCTCACAGAGTCACTGCTGCGTGATCGTCTGGGTTCCTCCCGGGGTTGTGGTCACGCCGTTCCCGGAGGCAGAGGGCTGGGTGGGGGGCCGGGAACGAGGCAGCCTGGGGGGCTGCAGACTCTCTCTTGACCTTGACAGCGCGTTCCGAGGCTGGCCCACCCTGCTGGAGAGCGGTGACCTGCTCCCCGGTGGTACGGTCGCCTCCCCTGGCCACAGAACTCACACGCGTAGGTCTCAGGGCCAGGACATTGGCTTCAGTCCCCAGGAAAGACAGCCTCTCGCTGTGAAGGGAGATGCTTTGTGTCCTGCGAGCTCGATGCTCTCAGAAGCCCTGGGAGGGCCTTGGTTGGACACACACACGCTCCTTCTTGT